CCAGCTTTGGAAGATGGCTTAGTTGGTGAAACCCACATTCAGATCCCTAGCGCCATGTACAGTAAGACTTGGTGACTTAGGTATTAAAGACATGTAGGCAAGGCTCCTGAGGCTTACTAGCCAGCTCATCTAGCTGAATAAGAAAGCTCTAGGTTCAGTGAGAGACTTTAGTCTCTACCTGAGTCTCTGTACGATAAGATAAAGTCAAAGAAATAGGAAAGAGGTAGAAATGAAAAGAAAGGAAATGAGAGAGAGAAAGAAGGGAATGAAGGAAAGAGGAGGGAAGGAGACGAAAGGAAAGGAAAGGAAGATGGAGAGCAGCTGAAGAAGACACCCACCATCCTCCACACATGCAAACATGAATTTTTAAGATTGTATATTATATCAAACATAATATGAAGGTGAAAACAGACCAACACAAAAATAGATATTTCTAAAATATATAATGTCTCAATAAAAACAGTATTTTAAGAAGTCAGGTGGTGGCCCACACCTTTAATCCCAGTACTTGGGAGGCAGAGGCAGGCAGATCTCTGTGAGTTGGAGACCAGCCTGGTCCAAAGCCACAGAGAAACCCTGTCTTGAGCTCCCCCCACCCCCCACTCCCTGCCAAAAAAAAAAGTCAGGAAAAGCATCTACCAAATCATAAACCATAAAACATTCCTTTTAAACACTGAATTATCCCAAGATGAAGACAGAAGATTTCACTGAGGAACTGATCTGACAGCATAATGCATGCAGACATAGTTGAATATTCTTTAATTTAGCTTTGTTAAGTCTCTAAAAATATTTGAGAACCAAAAATGTTGTTCTTTTAGCATCTTGGGAGACGACCTTAGGAATAAGATACATTCAAATATGTTTTGGGGAAAAAAAAAGTTCAAAATAATTTAACTTTTCCAAATGTTACCAAGTAACTTAAAAAAATGTATCTTTCAATGGCCTCATTTAAAGATCCTTTAAAGCTCTGAAGGCTCAGTATTGCACCTTTCTTTTAAGACAGTCAAATTCAGACAGGAAAGATGGCTCAGTGGTTAAGAGTATCTGTTTTCTTGCAGATCTAAAGTCAAATCCCAACACCACATAGAAAGTTGGGCTTCATTGTGCATACCTATAACTTCAGCATTTGGGGGTGAAGACAGGTGGATCCTAGAAGCAGGCTGACCAGTCAACCTAGCTAAAAATGTAAGGTTTCTGGTTCAGGGACAGGGTGTCTCAAGGAGATACGCTGAATGTCATAGATGAAGATACCTGATATTCTGCTATGGCCTTCACATGGGTATAAACACCAACACTTGAATACATTCAAAACACAAATGCATACACATACCACATGCAGAGAGAGAGTGCATACCAAATTATTACATAACACATATAAAGTAGTAAACCTATTGTTTTTTTTTTCAACTAGTACAAATTTCCTGAACACATTTTGCACTCTTAATTCTTAACCAATACCTAGTACTTCAGAGACACATTAGCTGAATGAACAAATAAAATGAAGCACATCATGACACACATTATTTTGTTGGGAGCCAAATCTCAGGGCTTGGCATGACATCCTAAACCATTCTTGGCCGGCCACATAGTTGTATATTAACCTTTACATAGCAGCATCTTAGAACCTCAGCTCAAGAAAAGAAACAACTTGACCCAGTCCTCCACCCACAGGCAACCCTTCCTGGACCTCTTACTCATGAACTCTTTACCCTGCCAAACCTTTTTGTGGCTTCCTAATATCCTGCCTATACTAACACCTGGTGCACAAACAACCCATTCTGCCCCTCCCCATATCCTGCTCTGCTGACTATATAAGCTAGCCTGAGAAAAGTAAAGTTTGCCACTTGATCAGAATCCTGTCTTATGGTCGTTCTTTCTGCATCTCTTGTCCCCTATCCCTGACTCTCTTGCCCCAAGCTGACGCCCTGCAGGTTGGGACATTATTTCACAGTATGGGAAGCTTTCATGTGTTGCTAATGTAACATGAAAAATATCAGTAAACTTAAGTTTTAATGTCTAAATGTAGAACATACCTCAATTTGCATCTTCAGATGTGTCTTGAAGTTTGACAACAAAGTAAGAAATATGGAAAGAGAAAGCTCAAAAACCTCTGGAACAGATGAGACTCCGTTTTTTGAGAGTGCAACACACAGATACTGCTTAATAGCATTAATAAACATCTCATTTATTCTGAAAACAGGTCCTGCATTCTGCAGAATGGACAGAAGTAACTGCAATGAAAGAATCTTGGACCGTAACTCATGAGACCTGAGAGGTGAAAAACAAAAAGCACAGTATATGAACAAGGTCATCATTTGGTAATAACAGATTGACCCAAAGACACTCTGCACATCA